ATGCCTACCTATAACATACGCTTCTTTGTACATGCGCGCGCTTTATATATTCTCTGATATTTATGTATTTTTGCAAAAGATGGAATTGTTCTTTAAAGCTCTTTTTTACAGGGTGATTTCTGGGTGCTGTGCCTTGGTTGTAGAGTGTTACTAAACCCACAACAGTAAAATCTGTCTGTATATGCTGTAAAGCATGCTTGTTATACTCAAGGCTATTTTATCCTTTTTCTGATCCTCGCCTTCTTCTACTGTATTCATTCCATCTGCTGATAGGACAGAGCCTTTGGGGCATGCTGCACATGCTCAGTTTGGTGTGTTATGCTAATAAGTTTTTTTTCTTGAGAGGGTGCATGTGAACAGCACAGGGCCAATCACCACTTTCCAGAGGGTCAGGGGTTATGCAGCCTCATAGGACAATCAGGGGAGAATGAACACTCCTCCTATAAGCTTTACCCAGTGCTTGGCTGGACACTGATAGAAGTCATAAGACTGCTACATACTGCTGATGAGAAAAGGTGATTAGTAGATCGTATTTACTAAAATAATTACATTTCCATAAATTTTTTTCAAGTACTTATATAGCGCCGTCAATTTACACAGTGCTTTACATATATATTGTACATTCACATCAGTCCCTAACCCTCAAGGGGCGTACAATCTAAGGTCCCTAACTTACAGTCATACATACACATACTAGGACCAATTTAGACAGGATCCAATTAACCACTGTGCTGTCTTTTTAAAGAGGAAACCGGCCAGTACCTGGAGCCCTGTCTCCTCCCATTCCCTCACCAATGGAATAGGGTAGAAGAAACATTTAAAAGTTTCTATTAATTCCAGAATTCTCACCTATAGATGGGAATGTCTCCCTCCCCCGTCTGAAGTCTGACCTTCCCTGTCTTTGCACATGGGCTTGGTCAGGACCCAATGGCCAAGAAGAAGTCAGCGAGTGTATCTGCGCAGGCGCATAATTAGCCAAGTGGAGGGCGGAGCCCACCTGGGAGGCATTTGCTTCAGGTGAAGTGCCCCTTTACCTCATATGTAGGCAACCTTCAGGAGGTGGGCTGGAGCCCAGTCACAGACTCCCAATGGCAGCCATCCCACCCCTTCTCCTCCCTGCACTGGAGGGGGTCATCCCTGACTAAGGGGAGGGAAGCATTTACAAGGGTTCCTATCAGCAGATCTCTCCAGTAGAGGGCGCTCCCAGCCCTGACACTACCTATAGATGGGAATGGCATTCACCTCCAGCCACAACAGCCCTGTCCCTTCATATAAATCCCGTACATTACGAGTCCATTATCCCGACCTGCAACCTTTCCCCTCACCTGACAGCTCCGCTTGACTTACGTGACATTGCCCGGCCTCCGGACACCCTACAGAGGATAATCACCGCCATCTTGTCCGGCCTCCCACAGTCCTGTGCGACCTACGGCGCTCTGTGTACAGCAGATGGCATCATCAGCGACCGGCGCCTCCCTCTAGCGGTCGTATGTGGAAAGGCGGAGCAGGTGGGATGGACTATCGACTTCAGGTTTGGTGCTCCATTAACCTCATATATGGGATTAGCAGCACTCCTATCAGGAGGTGGGCTAGGAGCTGCAGAGTGCACAGACTCCAACCAATGGCAGCCATCCTGCAGGGGATTCTCCGGGTCCCAATGGTTCCACTGGAGGGGGTCATCCCTGGTACTAAGGGGATGGAAGCATACAAGGGCCCCAATCCCATCAGCAGATCGGTCTCCAGTAGATGGGCGCTCCCAGCCCTGACACTGCCTATACATGACCTCGGTGGTATTACTGCAGATGGGATTATCAGAGTGTCCAATGGTTCCATCTAGCTGTCATCCTTGGTATTAATCCTGATACATTATCGAGTCCAATGGTTCCATCCCGTTGTCATCACCTGCAACCTTTCCCCAGTTGGGACAGCTCCGCTGGTAATTACGTGGACATTGCCCGGCCTCCGGACACCCTACAGAGGATAATCACCGCCATCTTGTCCGGCCTCCCACAGTCCGGTGGCGATAACGGAAGCCGCTCTGTGTACAGCAGCTGGCATTATCAGCGGCTCACTGGCTCCATCTAGCTGTCATATTGGTGATAACATTATTGTTGAAATACCTAAACTCAAATTGTACCATATTACCAAAAGTATTGGGACTCCTGCCTTTACACACACATGAACTTTAATGACATTTATTTATTTCAGGTACTTATATAGCACCATCAATTTACACAGCGCTTTACATATATATTGTACATTCACATCAGTCCCTAACCCTTAAGGGGTGTACAATCCAAGGTCCCTAACTTACAGTCATACATACACATACTAGGGCCAATTTAGACAGGAGCCAGTTCAGCTACCATCATCCCAGTCTTAGTCCGTAGGGTTCAATATTGAGTTGGCCCACCCTTTGCAGCTATAACAGCTTCAACTCTTCTGGGAAGGCTGTCCACAAGGTTTAGGAGTGTGTCTATGGGAATGTTTGACCATGCTTCCAGAAGCGCATTTATGAGGTCAGGCCTTGATGTCAGACAAGAAGGCCTGGCTCGCAGTCCCTACTCTTATTCATCCCAAAGGTGTTCTATGGGATTGAGGTCCAGACTCTGTGCAGGCCAGTCATGTTCCTCCACTCCAAACTCGCTCATCCATGTCTTTATGGGCCTTGCTTTGTGCACTGGTGCGCAGTCATGTTGGAACAGGAAGGGGCCATTCCCAAACTGTTCCTTAAAAGTTGGGGCATGAAATTGTCCAAAATGTCTTGGTGTGTTGACTCCTTAAGAGTTCCCTTCATTGGAACTAAGAAGCCAAGGCAGGGGTGTATCATGAACTTTGTGGGCCCATGTGCAAGATCAAAAGTGGACCCTAGGCAGTGATAAAGAAAAAAATGTGGCGTGTGAAGCGTGGGTGTGGTTTCAATTGCACTTAAAATGGGTGTGGCTTAAAAGTGGTGTGGTACAACTGGGGGAATCAATGGTGGAGAAGGATCTGGGGGTTCCGGTAATCACAAGCTTAATAATGGCATGCAATGCCAAGCTGCGGCTTCTAAAGCGAGCAAAATCCTCTCTTGTATTAAAAGAGGTAAAGACTCCAGAGAGAGATATCATATTCCCCCAGTACAAATCATTAGTAAGACCTCATCTGGAATATGCAGTTCCCTTTTGGGCACCAATTCACAAAAAGAACATTGGAGAACTGGAGAAAGTGCAGAGAAGGGCAACCAAACTGATACGAGGCATGGAGGAGCTCAGCTATGAGGAAAGATTAGAGGAACTGAATTTATTCTCTCTTGAGAAGAGGAGATTAAGGGGGGATATGATCAACATGTATAAATACATCAGTGGTTCATATAGTGAAGAAATGGAAGGAGGGGAGGAAGGGAGGGAAGAAGGGAGAAAGGGAGGGGAGGGAATGGAAGAAGGAAGGAAGGAAAGAAGAGGAGGGGAGGGAATGGATGGAGAAAGGAAGGAAAGAAGGGAGGGGAAGGAATGGATAGAGGAAGGAAGGAAGAAAAGGGAGGGAGTGGATGGAGGAAGGAAAGGAAAGAAAGGGATGGAGGAAGGAAGGAAGAGAACAGATGGAGGAAGGGAGGCAAGGGAGGAAGAAAGGAAGAAAGGGGATGGAGGAAGGAAGGAAGGAAGGAAGGAAGGAAGGAAAAGAAGCAAGGAAGAAAGGGGATGGAGGAAGGAAGGAAGAAAGGGAGGGAGGAAGGGAGGGAGGGGAGGAAGGAAAGAAAGAAGGGGAGGAAGGAAGGAGGAAGGAAGGAAGGAAAGAAGGAAGGAAGGGGAGGAAGGAAACAAGGAAGGGGAGGAAGGAAGGGAGGGGAGGAAGGAAGGAGGGAAGGGAGGAAGAAAGGAATAAATGGCCCTGGCTCACTGGCTCAGTCAGAAGCAGTACAGTGCTTGCGGCTGCTCTGTATACAATTTCCCGTGGGGGATCTGCTCCTCCTTCCGCTAGCTGTCAAATTTTAACTCCTTGGCACCAAGTACATGCTGTCGGCTTGTAGTTTTCAAAGAACTATCACGGCACTGTGGAGCACCGTGGTAGTTCACCAAATCTTCCTGTTAGTATACAGTATCTGTTTGCCAATACGGAATGTACGAGCAAGTAGATATACTGACAGGTCTGCAGGAGACTTGCATGACACCAGCAATCTGCTGATCGCTGGTGCAATGCTTTACAGCAGGGGTATTCAATTAAAAATCAAGAAGGTTCAGTCACTAAAATTTTCTTCTGGCCAAGGTCCAAATAGGGTGTGCCCATCAGTGTGCCCCCTTACATTAGGTGTCGCCATCAGAGTGCTTTACATCATATATTCCCATCACATCAGGTGTGCCACGCTCAAAGTACCCCTTTCTATCATATTTCCCCATTAGAGTGCCCCTTTACATCATATTCCCCATCAAAGTGCCCCTTTCCATCACATGTGCCCATCAGAGTGCCCCTTTCCACAGTATGTGTCCATTTGTGCCCCCTAAACATAAACTTTGCCCCTCAGAGTGCTCCATTAACATAAAATAAGGGGCATGCTGATGAGTACATTTTAGGTTAAGGGGCACTCTGATGGGCACATTTATATTAACCACTTGCCTACAGGGCACTTATACCCCCTTCCTGCCCATGCCAATTTCCAGCTTTCAGCGCTGTTGCACTTTGAATGACAATTGCGCGGTCATGCAACACTGTACCCATATGACATTTTTATAATTTTTTTGTGACAGATAGAGCTTTATTTTGGTGGTATTTAATCACCTCTGGGTTTTTTATTTTTTCTTAAACAAACAAAAAAACACTGAAAATTTTGAAAAAAAAAAAGTTTTTTCTTAGTTTTTGTTATAAAATTTTGTAAATAAATGATTTTTCTCCTTCACTGATGTGCGTAATGAAGCTGCAGTGATGGGCACTTATAGGCTGCACTGATAGACACTGATAGGTGGCACTGATGGGCACTGATGAGGAGACACTGGTAGGTGGCTCTGATGGGCATTGACAGGCATCACTGATGGGCACTGAAAGGCAGCACTCATATATGGCACTGATAGGTGGCACTGACTGGTACTGTTAGGTGGCACTGATAGGCAGCACTGATGCACACTGATAGGTGGCACTGATTGGCAGCACTGATAGGTGGCACTGATGGGTGACACTGAAAGGCAGCTCAGATGGGCACTGATATGTGGCATGGATGTGGCACTGATGGGCACTGGCAGGTGGCATTGGTGAGCACTGAGAGCTGGCACTGATGGACACTGACAGGTGGCACTGCTGGGGCTACACAGATCATCAGGGCACACTGATCATCAGTGCTCTGATGATCTGTGTATATGTTCCCTCTGAGGAATGCCGATTACCAGCTCTCTCTCTCTCCTCATGAGCTGTCAGCGTGTGTGGGGAGAGAAATGCCTATACCCGGCATTTCCCTGTTTACATATGATCAGCTGTGATTGGACACAGCTGATCACATGAGCGAGCTGACATCTTCGGCTCTTTCCATGGATCGGTGATCCACTGCGTCCGAGGGACACAGCGCACCACCGATTGCCGCGCTGCACTCTCCGGGAGCCGTGTATGCGTGGTTAGAATGGGAGAACGTCATATGATGTCCTCCCAAAACGAGAGAACCACCTGCGTCTGTCATATTACTATATGGCGGGCGAGAGGTGGTTAAGAGGCCATCTGATGGATACATTTTATGTTAAGGGGCACTCTGATGGTCATATTCTATGTTGTGCCCATCAGAGTGCACCTTAACAATAAATGTGCCCATCAGAGTGCCCCTTAGCATAAAATAAGGGGCATGCTGATTGGCACTTTTATAGTAAGGGGCAGTCTGATGGGCGCATTTTATGTTATGTTGTGCCCATCAGAGTGCCCCTTAACATTCAATGTGCCCATGAGAGTGCCCCTGTAAGACTACACCCTACCTTGAGGGCAGATAGGAGCTGTGTCAGGAAGGGGGAGACAGCCGAAAGACAGGTGCACCTTGCTCAGGTCCAGTAGACTTGGGGGGGTAATCTGGAGGTGTTGGTATTTCATGATAGACCAGTGGTGTCAGGTGTATCTGGCATTGTCTGGCACTTGTCAGGCATTGCAGCTATTCCTGGTGACGGAGCTGCAGTGGACTGCGACCCCATTACCCTGAATGTGCCTGATCTCATCTGAACTCAGAGACTAAAGCAGGGTCAGCCCTGGTTAGTACTTGGATGGGTCAGGTGCTGTAAGCTTTTCCCCTCCAGAGTCTGAGGCTGCTGTATTTTGAGAAGTATCTTGGGCAGAGGATGATAGGGCAATCTGAGGTGAATCGCTCCATCTTTAGCGGCACACACCTAATAGGTTAAGTATGCCTCTTGGGACCTTCTGGGTTCATCGCATCAGGCTTTTGCCTTGCATTTTCCCTTGGAGCAGAAGTTATGGGCTTATTATTGTAAGACACTTGACAGGTTCACAGGCCCAAAACCAAATGGGGACATGAGGTCTATCTTAGATCTCAAGGCGCTAGACATAAGTCTAGCCATCCTTCTGTTTCGGATGAGATAAATCCTCAGTGGTGGCCTCTCTGCAAGAGATAGATTTTGGGTGTCCATAGTCCTCAATGATGCATATCTTCATGTACCAACTGTTTTCAGGCTCATCAATAGTTTCTATTTGCCATAAAGAATTGCCATTTTTGTTTTGGGGCACTGTCCTTTGGGCTGGCCACGGCCTCCAGAGTGTTCACAAAGCTCCTGGGGACACAGGGGGGTGTCAATCTCAGAATACCTTAATGTTCATTCACTCAGGGAGCAGTCAGTTCCAAGTTTAAAGCAAAATATAAGAAGCAAAAGGTATCCTTTAATGAGTCTCTGCATGGGGAAATGGTATCTACGTTGAATCGGTTTCCTACATGCAGTTCCACTCCAAAGGAACATTGTCCCTGGATCACAAAGCTCCAATCATTGGATTGCTGGAGGGTTTTGTCCACAGGCTATTGCAGAGTTTGAATAGGTGGCTGTTTGTTTGGAATCTGAGAGGGCTAATTTTCCTTCTGGTTGGGGGGCTGGTTTGGAGGTGTTTACAGTTTAGGGGACATGGTCTCCACAGGAGAGAATACTGCCTCTCAATAATTTGGAGCTTCATGTAGTATGCCTTCTCTGAATTATTGGATGAACCAGTTGCACAAACTGTGGTTATGGTTCAGTCTGACAAAGCCCTGGCAGTGGCATATATCAACCACCAGGGCGGCAACAGGAGTTGTGCAGTTCAGGGAAAGGTGAACCACATTCTGTCTAGGGCAGAACAGCATGTGTTGTCTCTGTTGGCAGTACATATTCCAGGCATAGAAAACTGGCAGGGGTTTTTTCCCCATTCATCAGTGGCTAATACTGGGAGAGTGGTCCCTGCATCTTGAGACGTTCTCGACAGCTTGCCAGCATTGGGGAACTCTGAATGTGGATCTACTGAATTTCAGGCTCTACAACACGTTAGACAGGTTGGGGTTTATTTACTAAAGCTGGAGAGTCCAAAATCAGACGCCCTTCTGCATAGAAACCAATCAGCTTCCAGGTTTCATTGCCAAAGCTTCATTGAACAAGCTAAGGTTAGAAGCTGATTGGTTTCTATGAAGAAGGGAGTCTGATTTTGGACTCTCCAGCTTTAGTAAATAAACCCCGTTGTGTCCAGGTCGAGAGCCCCACTGGCAATAAGAGTAGATGCACTAGTAACACATTAAGAACCAGTTCTCTCCAATTTATGCCTTCCCCCCTTTAACTATGGCCACATCTTTGAGCAGCAGATCAGGGAGGAACACTAGCCAGTGCAGCCAGTAACAGTGTTCCTGATCACCAGTGGTGTATTTATTTCTTGTGCTGCCCTAGGCAACACAAAAATCAAACACCCCTCCACCAGCAGGGTGGCTCTGCCCCCCTGAAAATTGCCACCCAAGGCAAACGCCTTGTTTGCCTTGCAGCAAATACGCCAATGGGGAAGTGTATTGTACATCAGGAGTTGTATTATAGATCGGTAGGTGGGGTTATACTGTAGATTGCGATGTGTATTGTAGGTATGCAGTGCGGGATGTGTATTGTTGATCGGTAGGTGGGGGAGCTGTATTGTAGATCGGGATGGTTATTGTAGGTGAGGAGGTGTATTGTAGATTGGTAGGTTGGAGTGCATTGTAGATTGGGAGCTGCATTGTAGATTGGTACTGGGGGATGTGTATTGTAGATCAGTAGGTGGGGTGTACTGTAGATCGGGAGGAGTTTTATAGGTCAATAACTCCTCGGCATGTTTTCTCAGCACCTTCTCCCTCTTGTACTGGGTGCTATGGGGTGGTGTACTGTAGGTAGATACTGGGAGGGTGTACTGTAGATTGAGGTGGGGTGTATTATAGATCAGTATGTAGTTTGTGGGGGGGGTATTGTGTAGATCAGGAGGTGTATTGTAGGTCAGAGGTTAAGTATTGGGGGAGGTGTACTGTATATTGGCAAATAGTGGGGGAGGTGTAATATAAATTGATACCTCCGCAGCATGCGTCCTCAGTGCCTTCTCCCACTTGTACTGGGTAATAAGCTGCTTGTTGTCCTCTCTCCAGCTTGGCCACCTGCTTGTGTCTCGCTTCCATGTTCTCCAGCACAGCCACCAGAAACAACATCAACTCCTTCACCGGCTCCTGCTCATAGCAGCCTCTCCATCTCCTGTTAGATTTAGGCCACCAAAGAGAAGACCCGCTCTGACATCGAGGCCCCGGCCTCCTCCTGGTACATCAATCCATCCTCCAGTTCCATCACCGACACCGGCCAGGACCGCTGACCATTCCTGTACCCCCAGCAGTATGGAGCCTCCGCACCAGGTCCCCACCCTTGCCACTGCTTCTTGGGGGGGCAGCGCCACCCCCCTGAAAATTGCCACCCAAGGCAAACACCTTGTTTGCCTCGCAGTAAATACGCCACTGCTGATCATCCCAAAACCAGTTAGTATAGTCAGCCTGCCGGCTGTACTAACCCTGGTCTGTTTATTAAGTATGTCTCTGCCTGCTGTCTAGACTGATCCTTTCCCTGTTAGTTGACCACATCTCTGCCACTTGAACTGACACCATCTGCACATCCGACTTACTACGTTTCTGTGAGACACCAATCCCAGCCTTCTCCTTTAGACAACTGCAGTCCTGGAACCAAAGGGACTCTTTTGTTCACCCTTTGTTCAGCTCCTGTACTTCCCAGTGAACATGGTATTCCTGTGGGCAACCACATAGCAGTTGGCTAGGCTTGTTTGGCTTTTAGGAACAGGGACTATCATAGGTGACACTACACTAAGCTATATTCCCTGACCACTTGTATAGAGGCAACCATTACATTGTTTTCTGTACACTGTTGGTTGATTGTTGTGATACACAAGATAAAATTCTTGGTACATAATCAGTCCAAACACTGAAAAAGTTTCACACGTGGTATCCCCATACCTAATATGAGTAGCAGAAAGGGTTTTGGCGTGGGGTTCTAAGTATGCATATTCTGTGTGTGAGAAGTATCTTATAAAATTGACAATTTTGTGTAAAAAATACATTCATTCTGTATTTTCCAAAAACGTATGGTGGAAAAATTAGATCTTCAAAAGACTATGACTTTTAAAAAAAAAAAAATACGCTGGGGTGTCTGCTTTTCAAAATCTTGTCATTTTGTGGGTGTTTCTGCTACCTTGGTGATCTGGGGCCTCCAAAAATATGATAGCTAGTCAGGAAATTTGATGCGTAATTTATGTCCCTTGAAAAGTTAAAGGTGCTCTTTGGATTTTGGGCTCCTCTATGGATCTAGGTTGCAAAAAAAGTCTCACATGTTGTATAATTCTCAGAATGCCTATGATGTGTTTAGATATATCTTATTAATTGACAGCTGTGTGTAAAAAATATATTTTCAATCTCCAAAGACTTGTGTCAAATAGTGTGATCTTCAAAAGACTCCCCATGCTTCTAATTAAATACATAGGAGGGTCAGTGGGGGTGTTTGTACTGTCCTGGAATTTCAGGGCCTCAAAAAATGAGACAGGAAGGCAGTACATCAGGATTGATAAATTTCAAATTTACCAGAACTTTTACACAGACTAAATAATATACACTTTATTTTTAAGGCCAAATAAATTTAGCTGAATACACTTTGGTTTAAATGTATACAGATAGATTATTTATTTGCAGTTTTATAGCAGAAATGAAGAGAGTTTTTTTTTTCAAAATGTTCTGTCTTCTTTTTCCTTTATATAGCAAACAATTAAAAAACCCAGAGATTATTAAATGCCTCCAAAGGAATGCTTGATAAAATTCAGTTGGGTACCGCATTGCATAACCAAGTAATAGTCAGTCAATATAGCACAGTACTGAAAATGGTCTGGACAGTAAGGAGGTTTAACACACCATTCTTCAAGTGGATAAAAAAGAATGCCTTTTTTCTTTTCACATGGAATAAGATACTACTAGTCTAAGTGAGGGTATAAGGGCCCCATTCACATAAAATGTGTGTTAAACAGACCAACTAAAAATTATTACACAGGCAAAAT